CCCTGCCTGTGCACCAGGCAGCCTCCGCCTGCCCCGGGGGTCTGCAGGCCAGGAGAACACACACCTCTGCCGGCTTCTGCCACACAAGGAGCCTCCCAAAGTTAGGCAGGCAGGCAGCCGGGGGAGGCAGACCCCAGCTGGGGGCCCCGGTTTCCTGGAGACCGTGTGACTACTGCACACCTCTACTGGGCCTTCGCAGGCGGTGTGTGGGGTGGGGTGGGGGTGGGGGGGTCCAGGCAGTTCTCTTGAGGACTCCGTGTTCACTTTCCTGCCAGGTCTGACCCAGAGAGCTGCCCTGGCGACGCCCTGACCTGCCCCACAGGAGGCCCCACGCGCCCCTCTCTGGGCCGAGCTGCCCTTCGTGCTGGGCCCTGGAAGCCTGTGCTCCCCAGAGACAGCTCTGCCAGGCCCGCTTTCCACGAGGCCTGACTTCCTACAGCCTTTGAATTCTTTTTCTTTCGGCCCCTGTGGACACCGTGTCCCGGTTAAGATAACACAGTAAAGAACGTGTGAAAACCATCGGACTGGCTGGCCCCCAGAGCCGCCGCCTCGCACCTCCAGTTAGGCCTCCTGTCCCCAGAGAGTCCTGGCTTCTGACACCAGTGTGGGGAAAGCGTGGCCCTAGAAAACTGGACAGCGCCCTGCTCTGGTCCTGGGTGTTGGCAGCCGTGCCTTGTCCCTGCGCTCAGTGACGTCCCTCTGTAAGGAGTCCCAGGGGCCCGGGTGGGTGGGCCACCTCCAGCTGCATTCGGTGTGGCAGACGGAAGGGAAGCAGACAGGCTGCCCGTGCCCCTGCATGCCTGGGACAGCCACCAGGCCAGCCCTGGCTGGCTGGACTGAAGGACCTGAGTCCCAGGTCAGCAGCGGCCACCATGGGGATCCGGGTGGAGGCTGGGAGGGCTGAGGCTGGAATAAGGAGCCCGGGCCTCGCTGTGCCCTCCCCTCAGGCCAGGCCCCGAGCCCCAAAGCACTACGTGACAAGACCAAACAGCCACACTTCACAGTGAGACATCTGCCTTCCTCGTCTTCCCTCCCGTCCTCCCCCCAGCTGGCCTGTCCCGATAAAATATGGGAAAGGGCCTGTGGCCACTACGTGGGTGAGGACACAGAGATAGCAGAGAATGTCCCTGTTACTGGATGAATCGTGTCCCCCCAGAACCCATATGTTGAAGTTCCAGCCCCCAGTCCCTCAGCACGTGGCTGTATTTGGAGACAGGATCTCTAAAGAGGTGGCCGAGGTAACATGAGGTCACATGGGTGGGCCCCGGTCCAACACAGCTGGAGTCCCTATAAGGACAGGAAATCAGGACAGAGACACAGAGGGACACCCTGTGAGGACACAGGGACAGAGAGACCTCAGGAAAAACCCAACCTGCCGAAACCTTGATTTCAGACTTCCAGAACTGTGAGGAAACAGATTTCGGTTGTTCAAGCAGCTCCGACTCCCTGGGACAGGGCTCTGCGGGGCTGAGCAGCAGCCAACTGGGCACGGCCCCGGAGAGGAGAGAGAGGCGGCCGCCGCCGGCACCCAGCCGAGGTGCAGAGCTGCGGTGCGCGGTGCCTGGGAGCTCGGCGTCCACAGCCCTCGCAGGGCAGGGGCTCGGGTGCAGGACACCACTGCCGGCCAACGGCCCCCAGAGAGTGCGACCAGTGCGTCCAAGGAAATGGAGACAGACGGGGCAGGGAAGTGAGGAGAGACCTACGAGCAGCGTTAGAACAGGGACGTCCTCACACAGCCCGCGTGGAGGCCCGGGCGGCGGGGGGCAGGCTGGGGACAGGCTGTGCAGGGCCACCTTGCCCGGCTGGCCACGTCCTGCCCTCCTCCTGGGGCCTTTCTCTGGCAGAGCCCGCCTGGCCAGACGAGGGTAGGCCGGGCAATGAATGCCCCCAGAGCAGCCCCGCCAGAGGCTGAGGGACTTGGTGTATAAATGCCTCAGCTCCCCCTCCCCTCCGGGTGGGCCATACGGGGCTCTGGAGTCCCCTAGAGTCCCTGGAGCATTGAGCCCCAGCCGCCCACCGTGGAGCCAGTGGACGACGCCCCTTTGTGGCTCCTTCTCTTCCCGGCTCACTCCTCACTCCCTGCCCAGGTTTAGTCGGAATAAACCAGTGCACTCAACTCCAGGCTCGGGCAGCTTTGGAGTGTAAGGAAGTTACCCAGATGCCACCCAGCCCTGGTGGGGTGGTCAGGAACAGGAAACCCAGAGCTGGCCTCTCTGGCCTGGTTTCGCGCCCGGGAAGGAGAGCGAGGCCTCCGGTACTGAGCAGGGGGGTTCACAATTGCCGAAGTGCCGCTCCATAGAGACCTGCTTCCCAACCCGAGCTCTGGTGTCAACTGTCTTCCCTTGGACGGTTCTGGCATTGGAGAAGGTAAGACTTGCCAGCTTAATGCTCTGGGGGAGGCTGAGGCTCAGGCCCAGCAGTGGTTCCAACTCTAGAAAGTTCTGGAGACTATCCCACCCCCAGCCTTGTGCAAGAGCCACAGCTAAGAACCCACCACCCCTGGGGCTTGTCCCAGCGGCCACGCCCTCTCCCAGCTGGGGCAGGTGCACCCCAAGGCCACACCTGTCCCCCCCGCCTGGCTGGGGTGCACTCGGTCCCTCTTATCCCCATGGTAGGTTCTCTGCTGCAGCTAAGGTCAGAGCCACAGAACAGTAGCAATCACCGTCCGTCTTGCGATTTTCTGTTTTCTCTGATACACAGACCCCAGCCTATTTGGAAAGGAAAGCTGTGCTCCGATTCCCAAACCCTCCCGCCTTTCTGCTTGACTCTCAGGAGCCCTGCAAGCTTCCCTTCCACATTCCCTCTGGCAACGACCGCAATATCCAGGAATGACAAACTTCCAGGGAGATAAAGTGGATTTGTATGATAATCGCGGAGGCCTCTCAATCCAAATCCCCCGCAGGCCTGGTAAGCCGACTGAGCTCGGGAGATCTGGGCTCCAGACGGAACCTCGGCCGGTGCCAGACCTGCCATGTGCCGGACACTGCTGGTGGCCTGGGGGCCAAATGGCCCGGACTCCAGTCCCGCCCCGCCTCACCTGCCACCCTGTGCAGGTGGCCTCGGGGTCTCACCTTGCTCACCTGGGAAATGGACACAAGAGCCCCCCTAGCTCCCCAAGCTGCCTGTCATGGCCAGAATCAATAAGTGTCAAGCATCCGTTTACATCAGGGGCAGAGGAGCCACCAGATCAGCATCACCCGATTAGCATCCCGTGGCCTTTGGTACCTTTCCAAAGCGCAAATTCTATTCCTTTCCGTAAGGGGAGAAAAAAAATCCCTGCTCCCCCCGTTAGCCAGGCAGTGTGAGATAAAAGTAGTGGTATTCAGAATAAAGACTTCCAATTCCATCAGTTTTCTTTCTCCACGCTTAGAGGCCCAATTTCCTGCCTTTCAGCCCACTTGGAAAAACAACTTTTCCCCCCCTTGTAATTCAGGGGTTTGCTTTAAACCCCCTTGCTGGATTAAAAGTACCCTGACATGCCCCTGCCTCCCTGGATGGGGCTCTGGAACCCCCGGGCTGGGGCTCTCGGTCGGAGCAGTCGGCCTGCCCCTGCACCCCGACATCGGCAGGGAAGCGTGTGGAGGTGTCAGCCTCACCTTTGCTCTCCGAGTCCCACTGCCTCCCCTTCCAGACTGTTCTCAAAGCAGATGCCCCTTCCGCCTCCCGGCTGCTCTTGCTACTTCAGAGCACACCCCCTTCACCCCCCCACAGCTGCCCACTCAAGTCCCCCATGCCTAATCCTAGAAGGGACACATCCCCCGGGGTTTGCACAGGAAGCATTTCTAGCTCCCATGTCAGTGACATCCAAGCACTAAGCAGTTGCTTTTCTACCAAGCTTGGTCTCAAGAATGACAGGAATGTTTGTATGAGACCATGATTTGGTCACTTTAAAAAAATGACAAAAAGAAATAAAAGTGTTGTTCATCCACATTTCCAAGTCCCTGTCTTGCCCAAGGGAGCAAGGAAAAAGCTATCTGCCACAAGTGCTGGTTGTCACAAGTCTCTGCCCTAGAGACTTGGAGAGAGGAGGGCCACGGCAACACCCTAGTGACAGTCATGTTCATAGGGTCCCATTCCACTCAACGCACAACGTGGCAGCTGATCGAGCAGCCTATAGACCTGCCGTCCACACTCAACTCAGCAGCAACTTGTCCCCCAACGTGTCCTAGCTAACACGAAGCGAAGCAAGAACAGAGGACATGCCATCTGGACCACGCTGCAGATGACCTGGCTCCTCTATCCGCACCCCATTAAAGAGCACCCCTGGACCAGCCATTGGCATGAGGGTGGGGTACTGGCAGGAGGATGGGGTGTTTCACTCCATCCAAGTTATTCTCTGCCTTAACTGGATTATAAAAGAAAAGTGTCACTTCTTTAAACACTTCAGTGACTAGAGCACATCCACTAAACCCAGATGTTCCCAAACTGCCTCCGTCGGCGAATCAAATCAACGTGTCCAGTCTTTCCACGCTGGCTCCTCGCACCATGGAACGGTGGCCTCCCCTGAGCCTCCCCAGCTCTGCCACCTCCCTGCTGTGTGACTGTGGGCACGTGGCTTACCCTCTCTGGACCTCAGCATCCTCAACGGTAAAACAAGGATCATGGCCATGAGAATCTCCCTCACTGGGTTGCTAATTTATTTAATCCCTTAAACCAGTGCCCGGCAGTAGTGAGGACCCCATTAAGGATCAGTTTTCTTTTTATTGCTGTTATTTGCAACTGGTGTCCAGAAGTCACAGCACAGTGTAGGTTCCAAACCCACAATCTAGAACCCAGGTGACATCTGCACCCTCCCACACCTGCCGGAGGTTCCCTGAAGAGGTGCGCGTGCATGCTTGAGCACTGGCCACAGGTAGCTGTGCTTAAGCAATGGGTGGAGAAGTGACGCCTGAGGTGTAGGGCTCATGTGTGCGCCATGGACGGTTACTGCACCAAACCAAAGGGACAACCGCCCCCACCCCTGTCCCCCGAGGAAGGCCAGGGCTGGGCGCGCTACTCACGGAGGTGGTGTGCGTAGCGCAGGTGGAACACGTCGCAGCCGTGCACGTGGTGGTACAGGGTCTTCTCGATCAGGTCCTGTGGCTCGTACCCCGTCAGCTCCGTCACCCTGGGGGAGGACGGCGGCTGGGTGAGCGGGGCTGCTCTGCAGATCGCCTTTCATTTAAACTAATATTGGTTTTGCCAACTAATCAAGTGCTAAAAGGCTCAGGGGGGAAATGTTGATTTTGGAAACTGAGAATGACCTTTTTTACAAGAAGAAAGTCTTTGAACTCCAGCCCCAGTGCAGGACGCGGCACCGTTCCTGGGCAGGAATGTTCTTCTGAAACCATGGGCTAGAATGCTTGGGATGGCTTAAAATGGCAGCCTTTTTCAAGGTTAAGCTTATCTGAGAATATCTCAAGTGAACTTTGACACCGACACTGGGAGAAAGCTGCTCTCTGGGGGCCTCAGGGTAGGGGGGGAGAATCCTGTGTGAGCCTTTTATAAAATCATGGTAAAACATACATAATATAAAATTTTCCATTTAACCATTTTTAAGCATACAATTAAGTGGCACTAAGCACACTCCCTTTGTTGTGTGACCATCACCACTGTCCCCTTTGCAGAGGTTTTCAGAGACTTTCCATCACCCCAAACAGAAACGCTGTCCCTTGATTACACACTAACTGCCCCCTCCCAGCCCCTGGCAACCTTCTATTCTACTTTCCGTCTCTGTGAATTTGTATCTTCTGGATGTTTCATGTAAGTGGAAGGATACAATACATGGCCTTTGGTGTCTGGTGTCACTGAGCATGATGTTTTTAAGGCTCATCCATGTTGCCCCATGTGCCAGTACCTCTTAGGGCGAGATAATATTCTGATCGACGCAGACGCGCATTTCGCTCATCCGAGCCTCTGCTGACGGCAGCGGCGTGTGAGCCTGGACGCTGTCCCCTGGCACAGTGGCCGCGGGGTGCTGTGGTTGGCTGCTGCTTGCTAATAGGAATTATGGAGTAACCGAAGGTATTTAAGCCTCCTATCAGTGGGGGATTGTTGCGGACCCCCCAGAAAACAGTCTAACGACCTGAGATATTGTGACTGCGAGGAAAGCCTTAAGCTCTCTGGAGAAATGGAAGCTTTTTTCCCAGTGCTTATATGACACGACCCCTCTGTATTCTGATCAAGCCCAGGCATATTAATTTTCCACTTCAGCTCTTTGAAGAAAAGTGGCTCTCGGCGTCCAAGACCACATCGTCACTCACGTCGGGACTGCTCCGACCGTAGGTGAAAATTGCATGTGGCGGCGGTAGGGTTTCCCAGGCTTTGGGCAGCTGAGCCGGGAACGGTGCCCTGGGAGGAGGTGGCCCTAAACATCTTGGTGACAGATATTCAAGAACAGATGAAAGAGAGGGACAAGAAGGGCTTCCAGAGGAGGCACGCATGGTGCGAAGTCAGTCCTGGGGTCCCCCTGAGTGGGGGGACACGAGGAAGGCCGGGGCTGGGGGCCCTGCTTGCCAGGGTAGGAAACGCTAGCTGTTAAGTCAAACTGGGAAACTTGACCTCACTTTCATTCTTTAACCCGCTCCCCTTTCTGTTGAGCTCTGCCCGGGCTTTGGGTCGTAAATCTCTGAGCGCCTCATGTTTCCCTGGAGTCGCTGGCTATGCGGTGTGCACATTTCCACGCAGTTCCTTTGGGGTTGGAAGGAGACAGGGCTCGAGGCGGGGGGACAAGGACCCCGCACAGCCCAGGGCCATTCAGGGCTCAAGGGACTTGTCTGAGGGCCACCTAGAACGTCAAGCCCCGCCGTCGGAGTCTAACTCTGTGTGGCAGGAAAATCGAGCCGTCTGGCTTTCCCCCCAAAATAAAAACAGGCATCCCTATGGGGTGGGAATGAAAGAGGCTTCCCAGACCCTTTGGATACAAAGCTACAGAACAACGGCCCCAAACGTGTAAATGAATCAGAAACACATGTATTGAGTTCCTCATCAAAGTGCACACCGGCTTTCAAAATTAAAGGGAAATGGAAGGGTTTGGCAGGGCACCCTCCCGTGTTCTCCCAAACCTGCAGTGTCTGAAGACCTGTCAGAGGGACCTGCCAAACCCCAAACACGGCTGCGTTCACCCATCCTTAGCAAAAGCAGCAGCTACAGTTTCAAAGTGAAATACCACAAAACCCCCACGAACCAGATTTCAGGTTATGCGGGGTTCAGCTGTGTCCGCGCTGCATGGAGTGCCATTGGGCCCACGCCCTGGCTCCTGGGACCCGGGGCTGCTGCACCTCGGGCCAAGCCCTCGACATCTCCACCCTGCCTGCCACTCCTCCGTCCTCCCAGGCCTGGCCCCTGGTTGAAGGGGGACCGTCCCGCCTAAGCTGTGACAACCCGACGGGCCCTAGTGACTGGGAGGGATTCTTCCCACACTCTTCTGACCTCCTAAGCCTCTCCCAGGTGACTGGAGTGCAGAAAAGCCCTCAAGACATTGCCAGAAGCTTCTTGATACTTAGCAGGAACAACTGCCAGGTTCTGGGGGAGACAGGAAGTCTCCTTCAAGATGGCCACCTTCTTGCCTACTCACTCCGGGGGTACAGCCACCACCCCCTGAGGCCCCCCAGGCAGCGGTCTGGCTTCCAAGGAACCTCTGCTCGCTCTGCAGCATTTCAAAGCTGTGCGAGTTGAATACCTTGGAAGGACCCGAGTCTCTCCTCTGGGGAGACCCCCTTCTTTCCTCTTCTAGAAAATTTATTGTGTCTCAGGGGTTTGCTTAGAATTACCACAGAAAAACTAGGAGACAAGCAAGAAACCAGTTGGATCCTGCCCGATATGTCTTCAATCACGACCTTAGCCGACTTTCTTCCGGCCTCCTCTCAGAAGCGGCTCCGGAGTCAGGAAGGGCGGACGCCCCTGTCCCCGCACGCCCAGCCTGGCCTGGTGTGGCGGCAGCTCGCCCAGCCTCCTGTCCCCGAGGCCCCGCCCTCCACGCGGCAGGGAAATGGCGTCTGTCGGCACGTGGCCGCGCAAAGCTGTGGCGGCTTTCCCCCACAGAGTTATGTCTGCTCTTGCTCGGCGTTTGGGGGAAGATGGCGGTGACCCCGTAATGCCCACTCTTGCCATTTCGCAGCCTTCGAGCGGCTCTGGGGTGCGCTGACCCTGAGCTAGAATCAATGCGTATCTTCACCTCTCGCCTCTAACCGGGTGGGTTTGTCCTTTTCTCAATAAAGCTTCAATTAAGTGGTTAAAATGACCACTTTTATGGGATATGTATTTTACCACAACAAAGAAAAATAAAAAAGGAAAAAATTGGTAAATCTTGGCTTCAGGACATACAGAAAACAAAACGCACGGATCTTTTGCCGCGGAAATCTCAGCCCGGCCGGGGCCGGGAGAGGGGGCTCTGATGGCTCACTCCCGCCTGGACAGCCCAGGAGGCCGCGGGCCGAGGGAGTGGCGGCCCAGGTACAAGAGGCTGTTCCCACCGTGTGTGACGCTTCCCACCTGTTGTGTAATTTCATCGCGCCTGGCAGCCCTGTGGGCAGAGAGGGGGCGGCCGCTCTGCTGTTTTATAGATGGGAGTGTGGGAGAGGCCGGCGTGAGGCCTCCAGACTTGGGGGGCTTTGATCATTCCACGACATGGACGTGCACCGAAACATCACACTGTGACTCATAAATATACGCAGTTATTTGTCAATTAAAAATTAAATTAGGCCAGGCGCAGTGGCTCACGCCTGTAATCCTAGCACTCTGGGAGGCCGAGGGGGGAGGATCATTTAAGCTTAGGAGTTCGAGACCAGCCTGAGCAAGAGTGAGACCCCCATCTCTACTAAAAAAAAAAAAAACAATAGAAAAAAATTAGCTGAACAACTAAAAATATATATAGAAAAAATTAGCTGGGCATGGTGGTGCATGCCTGTAGTCCCAGCTACGTGGGAGGCTGAGGCAGGAGGATCGCTTGAGCCCAGGAGTGTGAAGTTGCTGTGAGCTAGGCTGACGCCATGGCACTCTACTCAGGGCAATAGAGTGAGACTCTGTCTCAAACAAAAAAAAATTAAATTAAATTAAATTAAATTAAATGCTTGTCAGGAGGGCAGTTTGCCCCGGGGGAGACCCACGGCTCCTCCTGCACAGGCCTGGAGAGCAGGCCTGCCTGGCGCCTCTCTCCCAGCCTAGACAGACACAGCCAGGCCCCGGCTAAGCTGCCGCAGAGTGTCCCCCAGAGAAGGTGACCTCTCTGCTCCCAGCCTCAGCCCTGCGGTGGCTGTCACAGCTGCGATGGCATCGCACCAGCCTGAGTGAAGCCCCCTCCGCACACACCACTCAGCGTGGAAACTGTTAGTTCTGACGTCCTACCGACTTGGCAGAGACAAGAGGCAGAATTCTGACATCAAAAAAGGCTAACTTGTGCCCACAGCACATATTTCCGTTGCAAACTCCAGTGAGATGATTCAAATGTAAAGACATAAATAAAATAAATAAAACAAGTCTCTGAGTCCTAGGCTGACATGATAATTCTCTCAGTTCTTGGCTTCGCTAAATCCTTTCTAATTAACATGCATTCTTAGTACAACTTATTCCTTGTTATGATCTATCTGGCTTCCTATCTCAGCTCCCCAGGGCCCATTTCCACCATCATTATCTCCCAGAAGTCCACAGCGGCGGAGGCCGCAGGTGCCAGACTCACCTGGAGTCCAGGAATATGAGCTTCAGGTCGAGGCTGGCCCTGAACATGAACATGTTACTGTGCAGCTTGATCTCGGTGATGGCGCTGGGCGGCAGCGACTGGCCCACGGCCACCAGCCCCACGATCTGGTAGCAGGAGTCGTACAGGGACATGTCCAGCATATACTGCCTGATCTTCAAGTAGCCGCTGCAGTGGATGACCTGCGGGACAGGAGGGCAGGGTCAGTCCTTGCTTCTCGAAGGTGCTAGAAGTTCCCCAGCCCAGCTCGTACTCAGCTCTGCGGCCAATGTGCTGATAGACATCCGGTTCATTGCTCAGGAGAAATGAAGAGCTGTGCATCTTTCTTAGGAAACAGTATCATAATAAAGTACAAGGGTTGTCTCATCCAATTGACTATAAGTAATTCCACAAATTAGGGCTCTCTGATACGTGACAGATTTGTGCATAATTAACTCCATTGTGATTAGATAATGCAACAAAGGCATTTGGGAGCACTAGCCATTTGTTCCCTAACGGTCACGCTTACCACCTTCCCACGGCATTGAATTGGACATCCCATCACCAGACATGCTGTGTCACTCCAGTAAATTTTAAGAACTCTTTCAGTGGAATTGTTTAAAATCTTCATTTTTAATGTATTTGTATTTATTTATTTATAAGTCAAGATTTTATTCCCTTCCTAACAAACAATAAGCCAGAGTGACTACATATTAATAGAAGCGCTTCCAATGACTATGGCCCCAAATCACACAGGGGAGCACGCACCATGCTCCAGCACCAAACAGCAACATCGACGCAGCCTCAAGCCCCACTGCTGGAAGCAATTACGCAAGTTACAGTCAGTGAAATCGTCCTAAGATCATAATCATCATGACAGCGGTGGGGAACAGCTACGATCTTAGCCTTGAAGTTCTTTTGCAAAAACCCTTCCTCCAGGATTCATGGGTCTTCAGAGCTGGAACAAATCTCAAAACCTTTCTGTTCTCCCATTTTACTGACAAGGAAACTGAGGACAAGATAGGTGGTATGTGTTGCTTCGGATTAACAGTTGGACAGTTTATACGTAGCAGAAACAAGTGAAGACCCAAGTGCCCTGGAGAATGTCTACTGGGTGCAGGGGCAGTGCTGGGCCCCCGTTCTGGCCTGAAGAGGCTTACAGTCGGGGACAGTGACTAAGAAACGTAAATCCCAACTACAAAAACAGAGCCAGGGAAGCTCAAAGAGGGGGTGGGAGGGTGGGGGGGAGGCACACCCTAGGATGTGGGGGCTGGGGTGGGGCATTCCAGAAAGACAAGACAAAAGCGCCATGTGCCCCTGTCACTGCCCCCTCCTCGCTCCCCTTCTAATGGGCAAATGCTCCTGGCAGAAGGTTCCCAGCAGCCTCCAGCTCCAGCTCAATGGTTACAACCTCCATGCTCGGAGGCAGGAGAGGAAGCAGCGAAGCCCCCAGGGAGGTGGATGAGGGGCCCAGGGAGGGGACAGAGGGTGGAGGGACTGCTCAGCTGGACCTCCCCCAACCTGTCCCTCCAGCGGGAGTGGCTGACTGTCTGCAGAGGCACAGTACTGCCAGCCGGCTTCAGTGGGTGACCTACTCCTGGATTCTGGAATTAACCAGTACACACAACAATGTCTGGGAGAGAAATGGAGTCAGGAAGGAGCTCGGGCCGGGCTCGGAGGTACCAGCTTGGCCACTCAGCCTGGCCAGCTCTTCACCGTCTCAGCTCCAGTCCTTGACTGTAAAATGGGGCCACTGCTACTCATTTCAAAAGCTTGGTGTGACTCTTAATTAAATAGACTGGGCTGGGTGCAGTGGCTCACGCCTGTAATCCTAGCACTATGGGAGGCAGAGGTGGGAGAAATCTCTTGAGCTCAGGAGTTCCAGACCAAGACCAGCCTGAGCAAGAGCAAGACCCCATCTCTACTAAAAATAGAAAAAAATTAGCCGGGCATGGTGGCACATGTCTGTAGTCTCAGCTACTCGGGAGGTTGAGGCAGGAGGATTGCTTGAGCCCAGAAGTCTGAGTTTGATGTGAATTAGGATGACACTGGCAAAAGGAGGAAGGGAGAGGGGAACGGAAGAAGGGAGTGAAGGAAGGGAGGAAGGAGGGAGGGGGAGGGAGGGAAGGAAGGAAAAGAAAGAAAGAAAGAAGGAAAGCAATGGACGGGATGAGATGCTGCAGATAAAAGCTCTCCTTTGTACCCTAGGATGGGCTCTGTCATTACTGCCATGCACACCTTCAGTGGCAGCACTGGATTTGGGGAACTTTCTGAGGCTCAGAGCAAATGTCTATGCTGCAAAGACTCACTGGATCCCGACCTGGAATGTGGATTCTCGGTAAGCTCCAGGGGCGGCTGCTGCCGTGGAACTGGCCCACGTGCCAGGTGAAAAATCGACCCTAAGCCACGCTGACTCCTGGTCTTACACGATGAATTCCAGTCAGCCTGGAAGATCCTTCCAAAATACCAGCTCCAACACTTGCCTTCTAAGCAGCCGTGTGCCGAGTTGCTAGAGAGTTCCACAGCAGTGGGAATGACACGTTTGGGTTCCTGAACCTTCCTTTCCGCAGACGCGCTTGATCGTGAAGCAGAGCGTAAAACCCAGGTGAAGACCCACCGCCAGCTCCTCCCCCCACCTGCAGCTCCTCGTACCTTGTATCCACTGCAGGTCAGGCCCGCGTTTCTTTTCGCCAAGACACACTTCATTCGAAGAAAGAATGACCTCTCCATCTCGTACTCTGCAAGCAGGAGCGAGGTTAGGTTGGCAACTGTCCCACCAGTTCCTCCCGACATCACCAATACGTTCCCAGGGCCAGATCCCGCAGCCAGAGGCCACCTCTGTGTGTGCCCAGCCCCTGACCCAGAAAGCTGCCACGTGTGGCCAACATCCGCGTGGGGAGGGGAGAGGCCAGCCCAGTCCTGGTGTGTCCTCCATGGCTGCAAAGGAAGGCCACTGAAACAAGGCCACTCTCAAGTCAAGGGGTGGGCCCCATAGAGTCCCACCTGCCCATGGCCCGACCCGTAGGCCACGGGGTGGCTTGGCACCAGAAGAACCCGTGCTGGCCAGCCCAGAGGTGGGTGTCTGAGCTACCAGGAAGGCCCAGAAGTGTCTGACCTCTCTCAGAGTAGCAGATCCTGAGTGTGACCCGGCTTGGTCGGATCAACGCCTTCGCCCTCACTTCCGGCCCTGGAAGGGCCACCTCCCTGCCTGTCTCTCCAGAGCCCTCCCCTGCCCACTCAGACTCGTTTCTTTCACAGACCCCACACACACCTCTGATCTCCCTAGTGTCGATGCAGATGAGTCTCCTAAGGAAACACCCCCTGCGTTAGTAAGGGACACAGCACAAATAGAGAACCCCCTGCCCGCGTGAGGGCAGGTCACTCCACTCTAAACACCCATTTGCTGGAGCTCAATAAATTAATCTTTAAAACAAGGTTACCACTAGGCATGAAAACAAGGACTTCCACCCTCCCTGAGGACACTGCCTTATGGCAGCTAGGGAATCGCCTCAGAGGGCCCCTTCCTGCCCTAGTGAGAGAGGCTGCCATATTTTACCCACAATTCCCCTGCAGCTGGCACTGTTAGGCATAAGGCTTCCCTCTAACATGGCCGCCTGTCAGAACCACTTCCGGATAAGCACAGAGATGTGGAAGCTCAGGTCTAAAAAACATTATCCAGTAATGAACTACACAATTTGGATCTCCAGAGAGCCCCCACATTTATCATACAACAACAGGGGACAGTTCAGACACAGAAAATCAACTCTGCCAACGAGCATCGAGGAACCTCAAGCCCCGCACACCTCGGCTGGCTATGGCTTCTCCTCGTGTACGCCTCAGACTTGAAGCCCGCAGAAACGGGGGACGGAAGGCTCCCAGGACATTCCCAAGGCTCATTTGCCTTCAATTTATAAATGCTTTTTCAGAGGTTATGACATGGGAAGTGTAAAATGAAATTAGGGTTAATGGGAGAAAGCCCATGCCCACGCAATCAGTATAAAAACAACAAGACGATGCTCTGAGGAATTCTCTAAGACTCTTATCTTTGTCTGGCTTTAAAACCACCCCACAGTGAAAGAATTAGATTCCAGTGTGATGTTCTAGCCTCATCCTCGCTTTGTTAGAAGTGACTTCTTCAGAGTCATTATTCATGTTAACGTGTGCAGCCTTATCATCTCCAAGGTTATCACAGACCATAGCTGCGACTAAGCCCCCCAACTCATCCCGGGAACCAACATGCCCTTCTGTCTCGCTGGTAAGGAATAGACTCCTTACCAAGAATGACTACTTCTAAAGCCACAGAGCTGTACCTGCAAGGGGTTTTGCAACTGAGTGTGCGGTTCTGTATTCTCTCTCCCTAGCCTTAGAATGACCCTTCCCAGAAGAGCAATAAAAAGGCAGCTCATTTTATTCTGTGGCTAGCTACCCCATTCTCATCGCTCTTGGAGCTTCTTCTTTTGCATTCTGTTCCACTGGGGTATTTTGGCCAAGTTGGGTAGTGTGGTCCAAAGCACACACAGCACCCATTAGTCAGCAGGCCTATTGGCCTCAGTGGACTGCTGGCGGGAGTTCAAAGGCCAGGGCCCCTGGAATAAGTTCTTCTGTATCTTCCTAGCACTCATCAAAATTGTAATTTAAGGCATCATCAGTGTAATGACCATGGCACAAAACCTACATATCCCTACTGGAAATAACGGTTTTAAATGCATAAAATACATAATAAGATCACCAAAAAAAAAAGCGACTGTATTGGAAAATAGCCATCAAAATATTTAAACACATAGTGATATGGATATAAATTGTGCTGCTTTATTAACATACAAATAACAAGATTAAGTAGCAGGTCTCATAACTCAAATAATTTTAAAGTAGGCATGAGCATAAGTGATATGTTTAAATATCCACAAAAACTTTAATGTGATATGCAAGTATCTGTGATTTCTGTTGTTGGCAAAGCCACAGGTACTAGTGATCCTAAGATGGTTCATTGTCTACAATCAGAAGCAAAGGAGACGCTAAATTTCAACTAGAGGAAACACAGATGTAATTTTCCCCACGCAGTTTCTCGGACAACTCACCGCCCACCCCACCCACCCCCGCCGTGAGTTCAATCCTTGGCCTCCACAGCCTGGACCCCACACTGTGACCCCTGGAATTCTGAACCAAGTACATATTAGGGGGACAGGCTGGCACCACTTTTGTCTCCTACCCAGCACCAAACACCATCCCTGGCAAGCAACAGAATCTCAATCACTGTCGGTTTAAAAGACAGAGGCACGAACGCCAATCCTCACTGGGGGTGGGGGGGTGTCGTGTGTTTGCCGAGAGACCGGAGCTGGGCAGCCCTAGTCACACTTCCTTGGGAACCAAAGCCCTTGGGTCACATTCAAGAACACTGTCTTGTCTTTATTCTGGTTTCTTTGCTCTGGAGGAGATACCTTGGAGCAGGTGATGGTGCAGAGGCTGGTGGGCGGTGAGGACAGCAGTCATCTCGTCGTGGTCGGAAGGGTGGATGTACTCATAAATACTGTTGCCGGTCAGCTCCACCTGCCGCGGAAGGGAAGCGTCAGAAATGCCACCGGCCTCTCTGGGACTGGTGCAGGGGGTAGGGCAAGGTGTGTCACAGGTATGCACCCTGCCAGGGATAGGACTTTGATCTCTGCTTACAGCCCACACCTTTGCACAAACATTTTTTTTTTCCTTCAGCAGAGATCCGAACAATCTCCCATACTTTCTAAAAAGGCCAGAAAGCTGAGGCTTGAGCTTAGAGCCGAGAGAGCCCTTGGCAGGAAGGACTAGCAAGTGAAGGATCTTGGAGATGGGGACGCTAATGGCCTGGGCAACGTCCTTCGTACAGGAGGCGGCTTGAGGCAGGCCTGTGCCAGGGGCTCTGTCCTTCCTTCACTTGCTATCTGCGGGGACCGGCCAGCCGGGAGCCCGGCTCAGGTCCAGCCGCGCTCCCTGCAGGAGCTCTGTCCACACAGAGGCCGACCGTCCAGGAAGCAGGGCACCCGCACACTTGGGGAGGGCGTGAGCTCTGACAAACGCCCTTTCTTCATCAGCTCTGAGCCGTGCCCCTCAGGCACTGCCAGGCCTCCCGCACGTTGCCAGAAATGTGTCTCTGGCCTTCCTGGGCCATGATGACTGTGCTAATTCTGTGGCTCCCACCCAGGGGTGTGGCCGGGTCTCTGCGTGACCAGCAGGAGGGTTTGGGCCCGCTCCAGATAGCCACACTGTGTGGGGATTATTTCCTGGCGTTGCTGCCCCAACCTTCAGGCACCTACTTCCAGACACAGCCCATGGAGGACGCCATGTCCATGTTGGACAGGACATGGCTTTGCAGGAACGAGTGGCTACAGGAAAACATCCTGGTTATGATTTGTACACAGAGGTCCCTGGTGGCCTGATTCCCAACCCTGAGAACCTTTCAAATGTTCTCCAAACATAAGTGGCAGGAAAGGAGATGACACAGAGTCTCAAGACCTGGGCCCCCTCAACCACCTTAAGAGGGGCAGTGACACAGAATGTTCTAGAACAGCCTTATAAGCAATGGTGGGTGGATCCTACAGAGCAGCAGTCCCCAACCTTTTTGGCACCAGGGACTAGTTTCATGAAAGATGACGTTTCTGCGGATGGGGGGTGGGGGGAAGAGATGGTTTCGGGATGATTCAAGCGCATTACATTTATTGTGCAGTCAAACCTCTCTTCCGAATAATAATCTGTATTTGCAGCCGCTCCCCAGCGCTGGCATCACTGCCTCAGCTCCACCTCGGATCATCAGGCATTAGATTCTTACAAGGAACGTGCAGCCTAGATCTCCTGCACGTGCAGTTTACTAGCCGGGTTCTTGCTCCTATGAGAATCTAATGTCGCTGCGATGCGAGCAATGGGGAGCGGCTGTAAATACAGATGAAGCTTCGCTGGAGCTCACCTCCTTCTGTGTAGCCCGGTTCCTAACGGGCCAGGGACCAGACCAGTACAGGTGCTTGGCCAGGGGTTGAGGACCACAGCTACAGAGCTACAACCAGTAGCGCAGAGGGTGGCAACCAAAGACAGTGAGCCACCATGCCCCGGTGTTTTTCAGGGGAGCCCCAGGGGCAGTGATAGGGATTCCTCCAGAACCAGCCAAAGCACGGGAAGAACTGCCTTGGGTGGCAGAGAGCCCTGGGTGGGTCCGAAGGTTCCTTCTCAGCCCTGCCCCAAGCAGGGCGGGTAACCTAAGACAGCAAAGGGAGGCTTGTGGAGTGTCTTGTCCCGAGCCACCCCCTTGTTATTTTTAAGTCTGTCTCGTTGCAGATTTCGCTGGGAGGCTCATTGCTCTCCATCAACGTGATCGTCTACAAAGCCGCCCTGACGGTGCCACCTCACACGGCAGGGCAACCCGGCCAGCGGCTTAATGGAGAGGTTCTCCTGGGAGCCACCGTTCCAAATTAGCATCTAGGCCGTCAGCCCTCTACGTGGGACCAAGGCACACGGGGCCGCGAAGCGATTTACGCCACTCCTCCGAGCCAGCTCTTCCAATTTGTTAAGACGATGGGTGACTCGCCTTTTTGTTCAGAATAAATTACGTTTCTGGCCTGCGAAGCAATCTTGTCCTAAAACGCCTTTCACGGTTCTATTTTCTGCATTATTCATGGAACGCTTCTTTCTGATATTATGCAAACAGGGCAACAGAGAGAATCCTGTTGCCGAAATCTCCCTGCCTCCTGTTCAAAACCCACCTCCCAAACCTGCCGCTGTTCTACGGACCCGAAGGGAGACCGGCCTCTGGGAAAAGCTATTACATGATTTCATTTAAAACAACAACAACAACAACAAAGAGTAAAAAGTAAACATTTCTTCTTTCAAGTCATTCCTGTGAATCCTTAAAAAGTTTAAACAAACAGGCACATTGGAGCCAGACATTTGGGACAGGACAATCTTGTTTTCCTGAGGGCATCATCGGGGATTCACTATGACACCCGGTCAAGGTGGGGAGTGATTTCAGCTGACAAATAAGGGAGCTAGCTGTTAAAAAAAAATTTTTTTTTATTGACTCACAATTTCAATGGTTTGTTTCAAAGATAAAAAAAAAATAACAAAATAGAAAATTTTTGTGTTGGCCTCTCATTTCTCCCTTCCCCACATTTTTTGGGGAAAATGGTCATTCTGACCTGCTCAACGTTCTTTTTTAGGAAAAAGTCACTGGTGTCTTTTGAGAGACACAGTCTTCATATACTTGCAGAGAGACTTCCATCTGTGCTCATTAAGGATTAGATTTGCGTGTTAATGAATCCCATAGCAGCTTCCTCTGTTTTCAAAGTCCCCACTCTCATCCCATGCAGTTGAAGCCCACGAGTGATTTGCATGAATGGAAGACGTGGTTTTCTAAAGACTTGGGTCCTTTATAAAAACAACAGGACAACTCTCATGCTGTCTAGGAAGTAAAAAAACAGTCTTCAAATAACGGAAATGTTTTTAAAGAACAAATTCTGGAATGATAAACCGGGGCTGACCTTAACTCAAAATTATGGTTGACATGGTGTTTCCTGTATTTACATATTTGTTCGTGCTTTTGAACGCTGAAAGAAATCCGACTACCTCACTAAAAAAAAAAAAAAAAAAAAATTATAGTTGTCGCTATAAAACTCCCCAGGTCTCATACATCAGCCTTATTAAAACAGACCCTCGATGTGATATTTTAGTATTTGTAAAAACCCTGCTAACTACAAAATGGATGACTTTCCTACTAAGAGCTTTTTTATGTTTTGCTGAATAGCTTTTCTTCCTGCCAAGAAAACTACGTATGATAAATACAGCGCTAAATGGCTATATTCTGTGTGGAAGGGCACAGTTACCGGCGCTCTGAAAATGCATGTTACTCTCTGTTTGGGGGCTTTTGCTGAGTTTGGCAAATTAAGCATTTGAAAATAAGATGGTTTGGGTTTCAGGGTTCAAGTTATGTCAACAAACATAATACACTGTCTTTTCTCTTCATCTCAAAAGTGAAAGGGTTAGGTCTCAACCCTCCAAACACCCCCATTGATATTTTCATGGTTGTTTCTGGCACTATTCTCGACTATGACATTTTTTAATGTGTCTAGAACTGCTAATTCATACACATCTATATTTATTTGAATATGTATATTAGCTGCTTAGATGCTACATAACACATGTAACTTGGGCAAGGAAATTTAACACAAAGATGCTTTCAAATGTATACAGCAGTTACACAGGGACTTTTTTTTCCTTCTTCAAATATAAGAAAAATAACTGCATTAACCAAAAAAAAAAAAATGGAACTAAATCATTTAATAAATGTACGTGGGAAAAGATTACTTCCCCAATTCTGTCTCATCCAAATAGACTTAAATTTGCCTCTATGTTTTATGTGTGCGTGCATACAGCAAGTGAAACTGTCAGGCCAGAAACGTGCCTCTGTTTCCCAACGCTTGGACCCTGGGCTGAGGAAACAACTTGCATTTCATGGATGTCTCTGTCATCATTTTAGTGCCACAGTTTGACAGCAACGATCACATGTTCACTAGTTTAAAACTGCAAATAAACTAATAAACTTTGCCATAGGAAGTAGATTTCTTATACTAACACATGTTTTCAAAAGTTTTGTAAACGTTTTAAATGGAGACGGGCTTACAACACATAAAGAATCATTTTTACACCTTCAAATAGATAATTCAGATAGTTATTTAGAGGTTGAGACCAAAAACAAAACAAAAAATACTACTTTGCTGTTAACTTTCACACAATTATGGCCAATCTTGGGGCTTACATTCTTGATGATCTTTTAATAGAGTTTAGCCCCGAATTAACATGAAAGATGTCTTCACTCAGTGAGATAATGTCACTGAGAGTAATTGAAAGTTCTTGGAACACAGAAGAGCACATGTAAATATTAGCTATTACTACTATCGTTATTCATCGGAAAACCTGTTTAAAAGGTTACTCTGACTGCTGAGTAAACTTTTATTAACACTTTTATCTCTCGTGATTTAAAAACATACTCAAGCCTATTTTAATAAAGTTTTGTGTTTCATATATTTGCCTGTTTACCAACAGTAAAAATCATGTAAAAAGTGCAAGAAATTTTAAAAGAACAGTTGGGTATTTGACATCTTATCTAATACTTTGTTTTACTATTTAAGTAAAGAAGACAGAAAAAAAAATACACATTGTGATTTTGCCTAGATTTCATTCTGTGAAGTTAATCACGAACAGGAGGCAGATTGGGGAGAAAAAGTTTGTTGCTGCTTATTTAAACAGTTCACTGTGGAACAACTCCCCAGACACCAGCCAACGGCTCACGTCGGCATTAAAGTGTTTTTGTAGCTGCAGACTGACGCTGACACAGCCCTGCGGAGAAATCAGAAAAAGTCACTTGCTCTACCCAGGCAGTTTGACTTATCTTTCAAAAATCTGCCGCTTCTGCCGGGGACACAGAGACAAAAGGTATCTCTACGACTTTTCTTGGAAAATGGTAGGGTACGGCCCCTCTCCTCTTTCCAAATTGTGATATGAAATTTTATTGTTGCATTATGGTCTAAAGGAAATATAATACTTCTACTTGTGATTCTGCCTAGATTTCCTTCTGTGGAGTTTAATCATGAACAGGAGGCATATTTGTCATCTATCCAATATTTTGGTGGTTCCTAATTATTGTGTTCATAATCAATCAATTCTATTTTCCGCATAAAAAGAGAAAAATAACAGAGAGAGAGAGAGAGAGAGAGAGAGAGAAGCAAGATGCTCGGTTGAGCAGCCCGACTGAAGGAACTGGATTATCTTGGGATGTGCAGGAACTGGATTGTCTTGGGATGTGCACTGAACCTCAGGATGTATCAGGACATTCCAAAGACCAAGCAGCCCATTAAGGGGTCCTAGTAGGGTACCCCTCAAAGGACTCTACTGGAAGCAACTTTGTTCTGATGAAACCGTGGGTAAGCCTGGAATTTGTGTAGTTCCCTATTGTTTATAAATCACGTAAAATGTGCGTTTTGATCTGTTTCTCACCATAATCTTAAAAGAGGGATAAAGCAGACATTATTTTATTATTTAAGTTATGGTTCAAGGAGGATTAGTACCTGCCCCTGTCAGACAATGAAAACTACATAACTGAATGCATTTCCCTTTTTGCTCTGACTGCTAGGCAGCTCAGATCTAAATTTAGTATTTGTTAATACAGTGACTTTACCTATTTTGAAAGATTTTTGATCAAGCATTTTAAAAGCGTTTGAAATATTTTGTTGTGTTTGTAACATTATTGTAAGACTATCAAAGGTTTTCTAAATTACAACTGAAAAAGGCAAGTAATCCAATTAAGGTCACTTGGCTACAGGTCAAGTCAGGAGTAGAAACTAGTCTGGGTACATCTAAAGGGCGCTGAATAATTATTTTTAAAAAGAGTAAGGTAGAAATTTAGAGAATAATAATTAAGAAAAATGTAGAAATAGTAAATTTCATATTCTCAACAGTATTTCCCATTCTACAGTACACTGGTCATGAGTCATGCAGGTGCAAGAGCCAAGCCTTAGTAAACTGTATCTGGAAGACTTGGTTTCATTAAGGAAGAGAAGAGGAAGAGAAAAGAAACTTCCAAACAATTTGAGTATGTAATTCATTTTAAAGGGCTTTGCATAAGAAATACATAGGGCTCATAAACCCACTTGGACATGGATTGGAAGAGAAGGTTGTAAACAAAAGGCAAGTTTAAAAAGAATGTATTGGCAGAAAAATAAAAGGAGTGCTCCAGATGCAGGTTTCCAAATGTGGTATCTTGTTTTTCAATGAGAAAACTAAAGCCACATTAACTGGCATGTTTTATTGCGGCTTAACTACATTAGGAGATTGGTGCAATGCAGATTTCTCCTGTGTCTCTCTGGAGTTTGCTGTATCCACAAGTAATTCCAGCATGTCTTCAGCTGTGATCAAAAATCACTGATAGTTCACAATGCAAAGAAACATTTAGTCCCTATAGATATAAAAAATGTGACTTTCATCATCATGGTCCCTGCTTAATCAGACATGTGAATGGGACTTATCCGTTAGACACTCCCCATCTGGACCTGCCATAGGTCCAGACAGTAGCAAGATCCTCCACCAAACCCTTGGCTTCATAGGGATAGGTAAAGCTGAGTCTACTTCTTTTCTCTAAGGGATGAATCCTTTTTTAGGAGATGATTCCACCACGTTTCCAGAAAAATTGGTAATATTCAAATGCTGTAAAGAACCAAGACCTTGCTGTGCAAAACAGTAGTAAACTGAGTTTTATGAGTTTCTATCACAAGCATATAAAATGCTTTACTGAAACGACCACTGAACTGGAAAAACTCAGGAAAAATGACCCTGAATTCCATGTGAACACTCATAAATCTACCCCTCCCCTCTCTTTCTCCCCACAGCACATTCTGCATGAAATCCACGCTCTACACCAGCTCACCTCTTGCTTCACAGCAATTCATAATACCACATGCAGACCAGCAAGTGTGGACTGAAACATCTCCCTTTAGGAAGCTCTTTTCAGTGGCATCTAACATCACTACATCTAACATTGCTGCAGACAGTCCAGGGTATGGGACAGAATCTCGGAACAAGACTGACATGGCAGAAGTTGCACTGGTCATGAACCCCAAAGGAAAAAGAAAGTAAAAAAGTAAAACCTAACATGGAGAAGAAAAGCCCTGCGGGACATCCCAAGAAGAGGATTTTGCAATGTGGGATTATGTTCATGCACAAAAGCAGACGATTCATTTTCAAGCTGAGTAAGGCTGTCAAGATCTGCTAACACCTCATTTAATGTTTTGGTTACGCATAAAATTAGGCAATACCTACCTGGGACAATCCTAAATGTACAGAAGCTGTCTCGGATATATACATGATTTTGCCATCAGATGCTACCACGAAAACAAATCCATCCAAAGTCTGTAAAAGAGAAAGTGCCAAGATGAGACAACAGTTCCACATTTGAGTTAAATCTAATAATTGTACTGTCACTGGGATAGAGGAATGTATAAAATATTATCAATGCATACTTGGTAAATGCAAAAAATAAATAAATAAATAAAATAAGGAAGCCCAGGGCCATAAGAAGGAATGCAGGTAACAACACTCAAGGTCTACTTCCCAGGCCAGCCTCTGAAATGCTTTTAAAGCACTTAAAAAACAATCATACGTACACATCACAAAAATCATGCAAAACATTTGAGAATTCCTATAATGTTCAGTTTAAATGTAGTAGCTTTATTGTTTGGGGTTATTTTAGCACTTAGCACAAAATCCGGAGTTCTATGGTACTTAGGGGAAAATCTACCACTATATAGACCATTTTATGTCATAATTGGCAGTCATTTATACCACTAGGACATATGCTTTATTTGCCACAATTTTCTAGTTACCCCTAAGTACCATTTGAATAATAAATTCCAAACACTACCACTCCCCAGAAAATAAAACAAAATACCTGGTTCTTTTACCAGACTATGTCTACAGAATTAATTATTTAGAATTTGTAAGAGATCAAATAACCTTTGCAAAAGTCAAGGAGAAAAAGTATCAACTTCTGAAAAATTAAAACTATGCAAATAGAAATTCTGATTTTGGCAAAGTTAACTAGCCCTCAAAAATAAAGTAAAATTATAAGAGGTAATTAAGACAAATAAAAAGGTAATGATTACATTTATGTGTCAGGGATAAAAAGACTAAATTATTTTTGAAAAAGGAAACTGCATTTTATTTACTCATTCATATTTTAGATCCAGAACCAAAAGAAAGCAATAAAGTTGGTGAAAGACTCATACAACCCACAATGCTGCCCCCATAAAAAATATTCCAAATTAATTTCTGGCCACAAATTCTATTTTTATGGCCTGTAATTGAAACCAGATTACCTTTGGTTTTGCTAAGCACCCCCCTTTGAGGGGGGGGCGGCTAAAAAGAATGTTGTAGAAGTGAAACTTGAAAGCTGTCCTTACATTATACAGTTTGCTGCAAAAACCTTTGCCAACTATACTATCATTACCTTTCCCTATCGCAAGATTTGAGATCAGCGTCTTCATTATAATAAGCCTTACTTTCGGATTTCTAACTCCCCTGCAAAACATTTCCCCAACAAAGCCTGCAGCGTTTCGAAAACACAAAATACACAGCAACTTCCAAAGTGGTAAACTTTGGGGCATAATTTTGCATGCCCGCTTAACTCCAAAATCATTACTCAAGAGATACAGTTAATGAAATAGCACCCTGCAAACCAGCCATATCTAGGATAATGAGTAAAAGGGCAAACATGATCATAGTTAAATTTTAGAAGTTGCCAGCAGTAGCTAAAAAAATATCCTTCATGGAAAATGTTGGGTATAGTAACTGCAGAGACTCCTGTCCACACAACCACTCCGGAATTAATTAAAGAAATGCACCGTGGAGAAATGTGGGGCTGTTGACTCTGCCCGCCAGGTTTCCACTGAGGTTCCCCGGCACTTAGTTGTCCCTGATATTAGTGTCACTTACAATAAGGCAGGCGCAGGAGACGCGCCGGCTGGAAGCGGGGCTGCCCAGCGGTGGCTTTTACAGCAAGCTCCGGGCTCAGACGCTCGCGGGCTCTGCTCTTGCCCCAGCACATGCGTTTTTAAAAATAAATCGCACCGGGCCATTTGGGGGGCCAAAGAGATTTGAAAAGGTCTGCCTTTCTGAAAAGCAGAGCTCGCGGCCGACTCGCGCTGACCTAAGAAGTCGCAGCGTCTGGCAGCCAACATTTTCTTTTTTCACCTTTTAAAGAAAACACGAAATAGGAGGGAGGAAACGCGAAGTAGCCCTCGGTAGGCATTTTTCGATGGCAGAGACAAATGACAGGACGGGGAATGAATCGAGTCGTTGACGAGGCTCTGCAAAGGGCGTTGGAAAGATCGGAATTTGTCCCCAGCTCGGGGCCAGCGGCGACCTGGAAGTGGCGGGCTGTGCGCGGGGCCCCAACCGCGAGGCCCGGCGCTCCCCGTGCCCAGGCGCTGCAAGGAGAAGCCGGGGTCAGGGGCAGCGGAGCAGCTGCCCGCTGAATGGCTCCGGGCTGGGGTGCTCAGCAGCTGACCCCCAAACCAACTCCAAGCCAGGCGACCTGGGAGGGTTGCTTATCGACCGCTCCTGCTGTGTGACCTCAGACGTGTTACTTAACCTCTCTGTGCCTCAACTTCCTCCGAAGGAAAAAAAAATGGAGTTAAAATAGTGGCTGGGAGGCCGGGTGCGGAGCTCATGCCTGTAATCCTAGCACTCTGGGAGGCCAAGGCTGGAGGATCGCTTGAGGTCAGGAGTTTGAGCACAGCCTGAGCAAGAGCGAGACCCCATCTCTACAAAAAAAAAAAAAAAAGAAAGAAAGAAAAAAGAAAGAAAGAAAAATTAGCTGTGCTTAATGGTGTGAGCTTGTAGTCCCAGCTACTTGGGGAGGCTGAGGCAGGAGGATCGCTTAAGTCCAGGAGTTTGTGGTTGCTGTGAGCTAGGCTGATGCCATGGCAATTTAGTTGGGGTGACAGTGAGACACTGTCTCAAAATTAAAAATAGCGGGTGGGAAAGTGAGATGATACCATTAGGTTTTGAACCGAATCTGGCCTGTAATAAACTCGCAACAAGTGCCAACTGTTAATATTCTATTATTGATGCTCTCTTCGTCATCGCGACCCCTGCAAACACACAACTGCCAAACGCGTTAGAGCCCGGACTCTGGCTCTGGCTCCGGGTCCCGACCACTCCTCCGCTCCAGCGCCGGGCACAGAGCGAGCGCTCGTTGGGAGTTGCTGAGCGAAATGAGGTCGGAAAGGAACTAACCACGCCCAGAGGCGCCATCGGCCTAGGTCTCCGGCGGGCTAGAGACTGCTCGGGCGTGGTGGAGGAGATGCAGGGTGGCCCGAGGCTGCACCCGACGGGCTAGAGTCCACACTCGGGTCCTGTCCCTCCCGGGGCCACCCCAGCCCGGGCGACTTCTGCAGCGTGGGGGCAGCCTATGGGCTGCCCAGCGCGCCTCCCCTCGCCCGGCGGCCCTACCTGCAGCAAGTGCGATCCCAGCTCCTTGGCAACGCTGTCCAGCGGCCCCGCGCGGCTCGGCTGTCCCCACGCCTCTCCCAAACCTGCAAGGTGGAATGAAGCAAACCCGTTAATGGCAGTGCCCGGCGCGAGGCCGAGGCCGGGGTGCCAAGCCGGGCGCGCAGACCCTCCGCCCCCGCCGCTCCCTGCCCGAGGTAGCGGAGCGCGCCCCGCCGCCTCCCCGGCCCGCGCGCCGCCAGCTGGGCCCCAGCCAGCGCACCTTTGCCCCCGCTGGAAAGCCAAGGGCCGGAGGAGGCATTCCCGCCGAGCGGCCCACCCGGGCGCCCCGCGCGGAGCCCGCCAGGCCCACTGCTCCCGCCGGTCGCCCACGTGCTCGTGGCCCTGAAATTGCCGTTTTATTTGAAATGCCACAAAGTAATCTAATCTGCTTTGAAATCGCCATCCTCGTAGCCAAACGCGGATATCGATTTGACCCGCAAATATTCCCCCAAGGAGCCCCTCCTCCCTCCTGTCTTTCCCTGGGTCGTTTCATTCCCCGCAGGCAAGGAGGCCCAGACGCACGACCCCGAAGTCCCGGACGCAGCTCTTCCAGCATAAAAATGACCCCTCCTGCGCCCCACCTCATCCCTTCGGACTCGCCAGCCTCCGGCTCTCCCGCCGAGAGCTGCGGCCCGGGAAGCGTTTACCCGGAGGCAGGCTCTAAATCTGGAAGACGTGGGGCTGGGGTGGGCCACGGGCGGTAACCCGCGGGTGTCTGTTGGCACACAGTCGGCGCTTCTTAACTGGGTCCCCAAGGCCTGCCGCGGTTCCTCACCACCTCCCGGTGGCCACCAGTGTTGCAGAAAGCGCACCGGGCAAGAGGGCCCTGCCCCTGAGAGCTCCCTTCCCCCTGAGCCGGCCGCGGCCGCCGTGCGGAGACCCCGCTTTCCTCTGCGCATTCGGGAGGAACCAGGAAAGCCCGCCGAGCTTGCAACGCTGAGCAACGGCGGGGGAAACTCCCACAGCTCCCCGGAATCTTTCCGCCAAGCCTGCAGACCCTCCAGTTAGCGCCAAGGTCCCCGCCAAAGGCCCACAAGTGCCATCTCGACCTGCGCCCCAACCTCCCCCGCGGAGAGAACGCCTGCAGGCTCGCAGTCCACTTCCGCGGCGCCGGCCCGGGCTGCGACCCCGCGGGGCGAGCGGTGGGCGCCGCGGGCCCAGGCTGCGTGCAGAGTGCCAAGCCACCCGGCAGAGCGGGACCTGCGGGCGCGGGGGACTGGCCAGCTGCGGCGACCCTGGGGACTGTTCCTGGGGCCGCAAAACCCCTCCTAGCGGAACAGCGCCGAGTGGCTTCCCAGGGATTCGCCGCGCAGTCACTCTAGGCACCTGGGTCTCCCCGCTGCCCCCCACTCTGTGAGCACCTGCGGCATCGCGGCTTCTGGGGGCCTGGACCTCGGGAAGCGCAAAACGCACCTGGGGCCCAGGGCAGAGGCGCTGGAGAACTTTCCCCAGAAAGTGTTCAGCAACTAAAAAAGGGATGACCTTTAATTTCTCCTCCTGGGCTCTAGGAATTAAGTGGCTTATCCTGGTATCCGCATAAGGAAGTGCCTAATTCACACGTACCCTCTGATCGCTCAAATATGATTGAGGCTCATTATTCATGCCCCCCACCCCCAGCCTCCACCACGTGAGCAGAGGTGTCTCTTTCACCCCAGGAAATCACTCTAGCCCCCCAAGCCTCACCACCCTGATCACAGCAGCACACCACGAGCTCTCACATGCCACTCCTGCCCCACACCCAGGCCGTGGCCACCTGGCAGTGTTCACCCCCATTTAACCAGAAATGGAAAGAACCAAAATTTAAAAGTCCGGGGGCTTGGGTGAAGTAAGCATTTAATAAGGACCCAGGAATTCCGATTTCCAAAAATGCACAAATGCTCCCTGGAAACTGTCCTCTCCTCTGCCCCTGGGTCCTTCCCTGAGTTTGGGCCATCCCTGGGGGGTAAACCCTCCCCTGCCACTGTCTGGGGAAGGTGAGCACATCCTCCCAGACTCGCTGCTTGGAGTCCGTGGCTGATTGATTCTGGGGGAACCCGTGCCTTTGGGAATGACCTCCAGACCAGACTCCCCTGCCAGGCTCTCCCAGAAGCCTTGTGGACAGCCCTGGCTCTACATGCTAAAGTCACAATTTTCTGTGCAATTGAAATACCACATATTTCAAGAGAGCTTGTTCTCTTATATCATAATTTTTCCTGTAATTTCCCAACACCTCCGCTTTGCCAGCAGAGATTTGATGCAAATGCCCCTTTCCAAGGAGGTGGCTGCTGTTCCCCCCAAGAGTCCCCGACTCGAGGCCACCTCGCCCTGGGGCGGTGGCGCTGCCAGCTCTTCCATTAGAAACCAGCGTGGGTGACGCCTTTTCACTCAGATCATAAAAATCTACTTTGCGCTGAATGCAGAGACTAAATAAAGGAAGGTCTGTAACGAAAATAATTGTCTTGGTACTGCAAAGCGATATACACTCCCCCCAAAGTGAGGTGGTGGGCATGTACCCCTTATCTGGACCTAACAAGGAGATTTATTCCAAAAATGATGGGGGGAGGACTGCTCTAAGCTCCTCCACCGTTGGCAGTCTTGGTGGTGACAGTCCCAGCAGTGACTGCTCCTGCCAGAACAGCCAGGGGTCCCAAGCCCTGCCTGTGATTTCTGATGGGGGGAGGGGCATTCCCCTGCACCCCATGTGCCTTGCAGGACCGGCAAGGGGGGGTTGCTACTGGAAATCAGGGATGGCCAGGTTGCTGGGAGCCCCCAGGGAGAAACAGAGGCTAGGCAAGGGTCAGGGCAGGAGTCAGGCCCAATTCTGGCAGTCAGCCTCCCGGTACCGGGTTCCCCTGGCCTCCCAGCATTTGTGGATGTGTGCATGTTGCACCCACGCTCTGCCCGCTGTCCTCTGTGAGTCTGAACTCTACTGGATCCTCCTACTACAGAGGCTGCCTAAATGTGGTCCCTCCTTTCTGCACACTGGCCCTGGGGTGTCTCCAGGTGCAGGCTGCAGACCATACACATGGGACGACACAAATACGATGATTAGGGGTGGAACGGGAGATGGTTCTGGCACTATGAGGCTGGCCACCCCTCTCAGATGAGGGAATATTCCAGTTGAGACCTAAAGAAGGCACCTAAGCAGGCAGCCAGCTTTGCTCCTTCCTCTGGATGGTGGGGGTGACAGACCCCCCAGCCCAGGAGAGGGACCAGAACTTTGGAAGCAATACCTGGGTTAGTGCCATTCTCTCACTTCCCCTTGGGGCAACCTACAAGTATCCAAAAAAAAAAAAACAGTGACAAAAAGACTCCTCACTGGGATCTCTGAAAAGCTAATGGGGTTAATAACAGGGAGGCGCCTATCCCTGCCCCCACCCCTCCAGGAGAAAATCCAGGACAGGCTGCTGCAGAGACCGAATCCTGACACGGGGTCTCACCTCCTCCCGCCTCCTCCTCCCCATCCTGCCCAGTCTCCAGGGTCTCACCTCCAGCAGTGCCCGACCTCTAACCTTTATTTCTCGCCTGGAAAATGGGATTGCTGTGGGATTAAATGAGCCGAGCCCAGCCTGAGGCCTCGGCGTTTGCTGCGGCTCCCGCCACTTTGTCCAGCCCCCTCTCGCTGTCCCTCTCCTTTCCTGCCTCCAGCCTCTCCTCCCCGGATTATCATCCCCTCGTGGGGGTAGGGGTGGGGCTGGGGGGGAGAAGGGGTGTGTCTCTGGGGACAGTTACCTCCACCCGGGAGCACGGAAGGTCACTCTTGCAGACTGCAAACCACCCCAGTCAGGAAGGGCCTAAGTCGGGGTTGGGGGAGGCGGGGGTGAGGAAGGCTGCGCCGCCCTCTCCCTCCTCACCCATGCATGTCGTGGGACCCCCGCGCCTGCTGCGGAGGCGGCGTCCAAAGTCACCCTGATGGGCGTTTACAACCAGGAATCCAGAGCACGAGCACCTGCAGGGAGGGTGGGCTCCCGTGACTGCGGGGGGGGGGGGGGGTTTGGAGGAGCAACTGATGCCCTTTGCACTTTGGGTAGCAGCTGAGAGGCGGAAGGAGGTGGGGCCTCGCGGGGGAGGAGGAGGGGGGGGGGGGGGGGCTGCCACGAACCTGGGCGAAGGTGTAATGGGGGAGTTTGGGGCCAGGCCCCCTGCTTGCTGCTCTAGGGGAGCCCATAGCTTGCGCCTCTAACAGGCTCTTTTCTCCACACCCGGACGCTAGAAAAACCCCAGTAAATTGTCGCGATTGGGGCAGGGGCTCCTCTGCGCGCTGCTGTCCTTCTCCGGCAGCGGAACCCTCCCGTTCTCCCTGGGGTCCCTGAAAAGTCCGCCCCTTGAGCCTTTTTCCAAACCAACCCGCCGGTGTTCAGGGGGTGGTAGGCAGGGACGCCCCAAGTAGGCCGCTCTGGGCGCGGTGGCTTCCAGGCTGGCCGGGCGCGTCGCCAGGCGGGTGTCCTGCCCGCTCTGACAACTGCGGGAAGGCCCCCGCGCCCCGACGCCGCCCGCCTGGACCTTGCTGGGGCTGCCCCGAGCAGGGGCCGCCGAGAGCCGCCGGCGCCAACCGGGCGAGGCCCCTTTGCGCGCCTGGAGCCCCGGGACCCGAGTCCTTCGCTGGCCCTGAGGGCTGAATCCGCAGCGCGCTCTCCTCCCCTCGAAGGCCAAGGCCGGGTGTCCTGGGCGGGACCTTTCCCGCCTTCCTGAGCCTGAGCTTCCCGCCACCGCGGGCTTCCCTGCCCGACGCGGGCTGCAGCCGGGCGGGTTTGGGGAGAGCGCTGTGAACAAAGTCAAACTTTAAAACTCTGTATTATTTCCGGGGCGGTAGAGAAAGGCCTCGGAAATCCTCGCCAAACCCTCCGTATCTAATCGTTCTGATTCCGGGAAAGGGTTCCTAGGACGCGGGCAGCGGGCTCCTCCTGCGGCGCCGAGACCTGAGTGGAGCCTGCAGCTCGGTTCAAACCCAAACGCATCCACCGTCGAAGTAACTCAGGCCTCGAATCCCACGCCTTTGTGTGTGCGGATGACGTTTTCTTAGGTGGCAACACCGTCCCCACACCTGTCTTGGGACTTTCAGGTCTGAGAAACGGGAAGGAGGGAGAGTCAGCCTCGGTTTCCAACCCCAGGACCTGAGGCCAGCCCCTCGCGCCGGCCGTCAGTGTGCAAGGTGGCAGAGGAGACGCCGCGCCTTGCCCCACTCCCAGGGCACGAATCCGGGCCCCTTGAGAGGAGCAGAGCCTTGAGGCTGGCGGTGGCACCGCTGCAGCTCCGAGTCGGGCCGCTGGAAGCCCCGTGCCGTCCCTCAGATGGGCGGAAACTACCCTGTGTTCTACCGAGCGTGGTCCCCGAGCCGCAATGGCCAAGCAGCAACCAGGACTCGCCTGCCCAGAGCTTCTGCGGTTTCCAAAGCGTCCCCTCTCTGGAAGGGAGAGCCATACACCGAGAAGAGGGCGGGCTGCCCACTGGCCCAGGCGCTGTCCCAGCCCCTAAAACTCACTGGGTTTTCCATTTGGAGCCCAAGTTCTAAAGCTGGCCTTGCTCTCTGGTCCTCTTCCCTGCCCCATCTCCCTACCTCCCACTTCTCAGCTCACTGTGGAAGGGAAGAAAATTAGGCTTGCAGAAACCAAGGGATCTTCAGACTTGGGGCAGGGGGCAGGGAGCCAGGCCCTCTCCCCCCCACTTAAGCCATGTTTGGCCCAGGAGACACCGGGAGCTCACCCAAAGGAGGGAGCGAAAAAAGAACAACACTTAGATTTCTACCTGCACAGCACAGTTCTGATTGTGTATACTCACACTTTATCAGAGCAATCATGTTCAGGTGCCACCCTTTGCTAATGGGCCCATTTTACAGACAAGAAAACCAAGGCCTAAAGGTGCAGCATGACAATAGAGCTTCAAAACCTGGCTGTACAAATTAAAAGTATCCTGATCCCTCAGACTGACCACCGGATCAGGCTGTTTACCTTGGTTCTGGTCACCTCCCTCAGCCCCACCCCTCTGAGCTCCTTATTCTGCCTTTCCACCCAAGGAAATCTGGGGGTAAAGGAGCGGAGGTTGGCAGCCTCACCAGCACTGCAGGATAACAGGCTGCCCACCGCCAGCCACGGCAGAGACTGGCCTGCTCTTGCCCTCGCTGTGGGTCCTTGGAAAGGCCTGTGCCCTCTCTGGCCCCAGTTTCCCCACGTATGCAGGGTTGGTCTAGTGATTCCTCAAGACTGTGCTATTCATTTTTTCCACTCCCAGAGTCCTAAGTTGGTCCCTATTCTTCCTTACTCAGGAGTCCCACTTGCTCTGGGGCAAGCCCGCCCTCGACAGACTGATACCTCTGGATATTTTTTTTATTTACAGTCTTAAGCCCCAGGCAATCTGAAAGCTTGCTGCCCTGGACCACCCGGGCCCTGAAACCTCCCTAGAGCCACCACTCTGACCCCAGCTCAATCAGGCCCCATTCTGACTAGAAGCCATATCCTTTCTTGCAGACCTGGGTTCCCTAAGATGTTAAATCAATTAAGATGCCACTTCTATGCCCCCACCCTTCAGAGCCACCAACGGAGTGACCAATTTGCACAAATGGACTCATTTTGCACAATGGAGGTCTTTCTAAATGCACCTTCTCTCTCTGTCCTGAGCTCCCAGCTTCACAACTCCTCAGCCCCAGATGGACTTGACAAAACGATGTTGCTGCCCAGAGCTGCAGGGCCAAGGCCGCAGAAAAGCCCCATGGCTGTGAATCCACCCTGCCAGGTCTGCCCCTACTCTGGACACTGCAGAAACCAGGAAGAAAGGGATTAAGCCACTTCCCCATTCCCTTCCTGAGCAGACCCTGCAGGTTCAGGGCCATTTCCCAAACTGTAGGGTGAAATAGCTCCCTTCCCGTCCCTTCCAGAGTGCCGACTTCTGGGGTCACCACCTCCCCCAGGAGATGCAGGTGGCCTCTCAACTGCTCCCCAAATGGCCCTGGTGCCAGTTTCTCAAGGAGGGACACCCAGCAGCCCCCCACCAAGGGCTCAGGGGCCTGCCATTCTGGGACTTGCTTTCCAGAGCTGGAACCCACTGACCCAGAGCACAGACCCAGTTTAACCTTGGGCTGAGCAGGACGCTCCCACTTCCCAATGGTTACCGGCCTCTCCTGAAATCCCCCAAACGACGAATGGCTGGCAATCAGCCCTCTTTTCTCAGACCTCTCCTTCTAACTAATTTCTGCTTCATTTGAAATCATTGGCAACACATTATTTAATGTTCTAATCGGTTTATAGAACGTGTTTTATTTCCAGTGTGGGAGGGAGCCGGGAGGAGGGAAGGAAGCCTGCGCCCTGCCCGAGTTCCACACCTGCTTTGTAGCATGCGGTTAAGAAACGGCTCACCCCAGAAAACCAGTAACCACCACTCCTCCCCGGGTGGGACGGAGACTCAGCCCTTATGTAATAAAACCTAACTCTAATTTCCACTGAAACCTCTGCCGGCCGGGAATCTTTCTTACTTCTCCGGCCTTGGGCAGACCAGTAGCAACCACGGGGGCCAAAGCTCTGAGCGGGAGGGGCCGGGGCGGGGGCGTCTTTGCGGATCCCAAAAGCAAACAGGAGGAACGAGCACTGGGCTAGTGGCGGGAGGGTCAAGGGCTGCGGCGCCTGGGGGTAGAGCGCCAGCGGCCGCGCGGCCGGGCGGGGAGGCTCCGGAGACGCCCCGCGGCAGCTTCCGGACCCCCTCCGGTCCCCAGTGCGCCCGGGTCCTCCGGCGCTCCGCTCGGGGCCCGCCGGCCGCAGGGCTGGCCGCCGCGCTTGCAGGGCGGCCCTCCGCGATCCACCGGGGGGCGGTGAGAAGTGCAGCTCCACACCAGAGGCGACCGCAAATAACAGGCTTTGGGAGCAGCGAACGCAAAAGACCGAGCTTTCCGATTTCCAGTCGAGTGCCCACTTCTGGACGGCGTTAACGTAGACGCCCCGCGGCCTAGGGACACCTGTCGCCTGCCCTGCAGCGACCCTCCGGCGGCCTGCGGCTGGAGTTGTCTCCCTACCCCGGCGCTGGCTCCCAGGGCTCCAGAAGCCGGCACAGCCCTCTGGGCTCCTGAGCGGCCACCTCCCAGCAAAGTGTCAGAATCTCCCCAGCCAGGCGACCCGGGTGAGACACTGGAAGGCTCTCGGCTCAAAACTCCTAAAATGCCGAAAACGAACGCTGTGGTGACCAGGCCTTTCGGACAACTGCTGCGAAGAGGTGGCTGGCCAGGCAGCCACAGTCCCCAACGGCAACCGGCCTATGCGGGCTGGGAGAACCCACCCAGCGCGCCACCATTTCCAAGGATCCCGAGTCTACCGACCCGCGGGTCTCCGCGACTCTTGCCCAACCTGGCACTTTTTCCATCCTAAAATGAACAGCTGCACTGAGGCCTGTTTGGCATTTTCGAACTAATCGCCTCCCTCTTCCCGCCGCATGTCAGCTCGCCCCGTGGTGGTCTCTCCTCCCCTGGCTGCCGTGCCCCAGCCCCAAGGGAGGCTGGCGGAGAGGAGGCCGCGGGAGAGACCCAAGTCTGCGGCCCCAGCTCCCCAAAAGTGCTCGCTTGGCGGCTTCGGCGGCCTGCAGTGTCTGGGCCTCTCCGTGCACCCCACTGCTCCAGCGAATGGAGCAGCCAGCGCCCTGCACCTCCTCCAGGAAGAGGGAAAGGGGATGGAGGAAAAATAAAAGGAGAGTGGAAGAAAAGAAGGAAGGGAAAAGAAAGAAAAAAAAAACCCAAACCAGAATGGACTGGAAAAGAAAAAGGGAGAGAAAGAAAAAGAAAAGGAAGGAAGGAAGGAAGAAAGGAAGGAAGGAAGGAAGGAGAGAGACAGAAAGAAAGAAAGAAAGAAAGAAAGAAAGAAAGAAAGAAAGAAAGAAAGAAAGAAAGAAAGAAAGAAAGAAAGAAAGAAAGAAAGAAAATGGATTGGTGAAGGAAGGAAGGAAACCAAAAAGGACTGGATGCCTTCGTGCGCCTGCCTCTGGAACAATTCTTGGTTTGCTCCTGCCTAGCCCTGAGCCAGAAGGTGGTTCGGTCGCCTGGGCCACCAGGGCCCTGGCCCTTTCTCCCAGTCGAGGCGGAAGCCAAAGCCCCCAGCGCGGCCTCCCCAAGACGCCCTAGCCCTGGCCGCGAGGCCCCTCCGGGCGGCTCCCGCTTCCCGCTTGGGCCGAGCCGCCGGGCTCCCCAGCGTCCCGGCCGCCCACCTGCGGCCTCACCTTCGGGGAAGACGGCGCGCATCTTCAGATAGCTCGTGGTCAGTCGGATGATGGACGCTTTGTCCAGCTGCGAAGTGATGGCCGACGGCAGCGGGAGCAGCTTGGCCAGCTCGTAAAACTCGCCATTTTCCTTCTCCCTCCTGGTCTTGGCCGCATTCTTGGACTTCTCCTTCATCGCGCCTCGGCTCCGGGCATATTAGACCCGGCCGCGCTCAGGCCCGCGGAGCCCCGCCCGGGCGCGGCGGCGGGGATGGGGAAGGGGCGCCGGGAGCCAGGTGAGTCCGGAGCGCCGGCCGCGGGCAGGTGCGCGGGGCCGCCCGGGGGCACCGAGCCGCCTCTCCGCAGCCGCCAGCCCGGAGCTCGGCGCAACCCGGCGGCTCCGCCGCTGCGGCCCGGGGCGCAGCCTTCCCCGGGCTGGACCGTCCCGCGGCGCCGGAGCCCGGCTTCCTGCTCGCTCCTGCTTCCTCCCGCCTGTCTCTCCCGCCCCGGCTTTCCTTAGGATGGCGGGGTGGCCCGCGAGGAGGCGGCGGTCCGTTCAGTCCTTCACCGAGCGCTCGCACCCGCTGCCGCGAGGCCCCTCCGGGCTGGAGGGCGGCTTGGGCGGCGGCGGCCGCGGAGCCATGGGGCGGGAACCGAGTGGCGCGGAGCGGGGCGGAGGCGGCTGGGGCCGGGCCCGGGCCCGGGCGCGCTCTCCTGCCCTTCCTGGTCGCTCCCTGTACCTGGAGTCGCGGCGCCGGAGCCGGCGATCTGTGGCGACGCGCAGCAGCTCCGCGGTCCACGTGCGACGGAGCCGCGTTTGTTTATGGCGGACCCGCCTGCGGGCGGAGCGCTGGGCCGCCCGCGCCGCGGAGGGGGGGCGGGGGGAGGGACCGCGGCGGGGGCGGGGGCGGCGAATCTCGCCTCCGACCCCGCCACGGCCCTGGAGTCACAGGCGCGCCTCCGCGCCGCCGCCTCCAGGGACTCTCCCGGGAGAGACTCGCGCGTTCCCGGGCTCGGGGAAGTCGCAGTGAGTGCACTCCGTGCGCCGCAGGGACTCGCTCCTTACAGCGGGACGCTAGTAGGGTGGGCGGCGGGAGCAGCGAGGGAGGGAGTTGTGCCGAGGCCTCCCCTGTGGTTCCCGGGCAGGCCACCGGCGAGTGTGGCCACGGAGGCGGCGCGACCCGCAGGCCCAGTGCCTGGCCCGGGAGCATCCAGCCCCGGAGCCTGCGCTGGTCCCGCGCCCTCCTCCTCCCGCGTCGCAGGTCTGAGAGCCGGAAGGGGGAGGCCGGGGGCTCCCCCGCCCCCCTACACGCGAGAAAGCGGCGTGGGCGGCTCCGAAGTGACCCTTCTGCCCTTTCTCTCTTCCAAACACGAGGGCGAAGGTAGACTGCTGCCTTCTCTAGAGGAGCTGGAGGCCGCGGGGTCTCAAGGGCCGAAGTAGGGGACGCGGCTGGGGAGCTGAACCTCAGCGTGGCCTCTTCCAGGGCGCTGGCAGGAACAGGGCCCAACTGCCGCGGGCGGCCGGGCAGCCCGATCCGGCGCAGCCAGAATTTCGGGGAGTCGCGGTTGGGCAGGCGCTTCAGAGCGAAGGTCGCCGAACCAGGGCCGCTGGGCAGGCATTGGTGGAGACCATGGCGATGGGGCAGAGGCAGTTGGAGAAGGGAGGCGCAGTTGGAGACACGGCCACCGGGCATCCCAGCGGTCTCCTTCTGAGCCACAAAGAATCCTTTTGTCCCGCCTCCCTCCTCCCCTGTCCCCCTCCAGGGACACCACCCAGAGCTTGGTAAGGGGCCCAGGATCCTCCGCACAGCCCCCTCCAATGGTGCTCGCAAAAACTTCCACCCCTCCCAGGACTCTGAACCCTCCATCGAGGTGCGGACGTCAGCTTCCTGGGAGCTCCCGAGTCAGAGACAGACGCAGAGGACACAGGACAGTCCTTTTTGGGCGTCGAGATCCAGCAGGGACCCTGGGCCGTGCGCCTCAGGCTATGAACCTGTGGATCTGTGGGCGCCTTACGTGGAGGTCAGCATCAAGTGGAAAGGACACCGGGGTCTGGGGTCCGGAGCAGGGATTTTGGTTATTGGGGCCACTGCTCTGTCCCCTGGCCCGGGATGATGAGCCTGCTGCTCCGGAGACCTCACAGTCCGCCAATAACCGGGTACTCGCTTCCCTCCCCATACCAGGAAGGCCCAGCTTTGGACACCCGTTCCTGTAGCAGGCGCATGTGACGTTTTCCAGGGACCCCTTTGAAGGTCAAAAGTTCGCAGGGGTTCAAGGCGGTGTAGGCTCCCTCCACGGGCTGGACAGTGTGCACAAACCTGGCTCGGCCTCCGCCTACCCCTAGCGTCCTGCCCAACCCACACTGTGGCCGAGAAGCGCAGGGCGGGTGCTCCAAAACCGGGAAGCGGCGCGAGCGGGAGCACAGAGGAACCGCACTTTCCACTGGGGCCTCGGATCCCGAGCGCTTTCCCGTTTCCAGCAGAGCGCGCCGACGGCGGCGCTCGGGAACCGGTATGCAGTGCCCACGCCCGCGCGCCAGGCCCACTTCCGCGCCCAGAGTCCCGCGCCCGGCTGCGCCACGGTTGTCGGCTGGGCCTCTGGGAGAAGGGGCACCAAAGGAGCCGGCCCGGGGACCCGCCCCGCCGCAGCTTCCGCAGGCGGGACCCCTGAGTGCGCTCTGGCACCTCCCTGGCTTCGGGAGGATTTAACGCTTCTCTCACCCGCACGATTTCCGACCCTCAATTATGGACCCCGGAGAATTCCTTCCGGGCTTGAAAGGGATTACCCAGATCGCAGAAACATGGCTAAGTGGAAGTGGGAGAGACCCGACAAGTAATAAGAACGGAAACTGTCCTCAAGCCAAATTTCCCGGATTTTACCAGAAAGCGCTCTTGTTTTCACAATGGCAGCCGCTGTTCACGCATCTGCAAAACAGGTTCGAATCGAATCGTGTGCTTTGAGAGGCAGCTTAATCGAATGCTTGAAGACCCGAGGGTATGTGGGTCTGAGACACTTCCAGGCCCAACGCCTGCCCAGCAGATGCCCAGGCGGGCGTTGGATACCCCACCCCCAAGCGCGTTCTTGCACAACACGCGGGCTACGAGCTTGGGGTACCCGACAGCGCCACCGAAAGTGCCAAAATACTTGGGCGTGGATCTTAAGGTTTCCCAGGTAAGAAGGACAGTGATTGTCGAGGTGGAATAGTGAAGGAAGAACCCCGCTCATGCGCTTGGGGCTGTCCCAGGGCTCTGTCTACCAGAGAGGGAGAGCCTGAGGCCCTCAGAAAAGGACACGTAGGAGGAATACCCACCGGCTCTATGTGGGACAGTTAGTAAGAAGTTAGCAGCTCTGTCTGTCTAAACTGGAAAAGTACTGAACAAGTGCTAATTGGAGTGATCAGGAACATCAGCGGTGACCGCAGGTTGGGACACCTGCTACGTGTCTCTGGCTCCCGGGAAGGAAGTCCTGGTCCGCGCACTGGGCCCAACGCCAGACCCCTAGCTCAGAGTACACGGCGCAGCCCCGCGGGCCCCAGGGGAGAGTGGACGAACCTCCGAATCCGAGGCATCATTGGGAAACAGCAGTTCACTTACTGGCCCACGAGAACCCTGCAGAATCCGGAACGAAGGGAGATTGGGGGCAGGAAGAGGGAGGGTGGAAAGAGCGGTCCTGACACTTTGAGGTCGGGCGCTTTGGCCTGCCCGTCGCTTGCAGGGCGTCCCCGCCCCCAGTCTGTCCTGCTGCGCGCGTGCAAGCACGTCCCCGCGTACCCCACCCTTTTAGAAGTTTTCCATTAGGAAACTTATCTGGAAGAAATTCAGGGCCCAAGAGGAAAGGGGCGGGCCGGGACCACCTCACATCTGCTTGGATTTTCCGCTTAAGATGCTGCGCAACTGTTTTTCCCCAGGCCGAGCGCCCGCGCCTACCTGAGATCCGTCTACAGCGGAAACCGACTTTCACGTGAGATCAAGGGGAGAGCGCGTAGATGTTCCACCCGAGACGGCCTCCCGGAGAGGCTGCAGGACTGGCAGCAGGAGATCAGAGACCTTGTCACTAAGGTGGGGGGAAGGGAGGTGGAGGGATTTCGAGCCCCTGAAGTGGGGTTTAAGGAGAACTTCAACCGCTGGAACAAGCAGAGGCAGCAGAAAATCCAGGACAACGGAGATTTATAATCCCTCGTCTACACTGGCATTGTTATGACATGGCTACTCCAGAAAACCATGCTTGCGCCCAGCGTCACATATATGACCGTTGCATGGCCGGGAAGCTTTTTTGGTTTGAGCTATCTGAAAGACTACATCGAGTTTCCCTCTTTTCCTTGTTTAAGCCTCTTAGAGACATCACCAACATTCATTGGGGTCATTGCTGCTCCCATAAAGGGCCAAAGGATAATTACAATATTTCTACTCATTGTTTTAAAATAATTACCCGTATCAGTGCAAGTTTGTAATAATTTATTCCTCAGGAGGTCAGGACATTCTCTCTGCTCGTGCATTCCCAGGTAGTAGGGAGAAGTTTATTTCTCTTGTTTGTTTTAAATAAATTCTTCCACTGGAAGAAGTTACTCCTTTGTAAAGTGATTGCTTTTAGGTTGGTCAGCGTATCTAATTATGTCGCTTAAACCTGGGAGGATCTGCCTTCCTGCACTGAGTCCAGGACACCATTGCTCCAGGGCCTCCTGCCTTCCGCCTGGGGGGGGGGACACCGGGTTGCAGCTCTGTCTCCCCCAGGAGAGGAGCAGGAGGGAAGGAGGAATCCCAGTGGCTTGGGTGACCTTCAAGCCAACATCTCTGGTCCTTCTCCTTGGACTTGATAATCCAGGACGACTTTGGGTTCTGGAACTGGGGACTCCAGGGGGCTGGCCAGGACATGTCCCTGGTCCCAGGATTTGAGTAGCTGCTGCCTGCTTCTCCACCTCCCTCAAGGCGATGCATTTAGGGGCACAGAAACCGTCTCTGGCAATTACAATGATTAGCAAAGTCCTCCAGGGAGGGTCATGGGGTGGGACAAAGCCACCCCAGGTTTAGGTAAACCTGAGGTTTGGGGATAAGCCCTTTCCTCAGCATTTTCTTTCCCTGTCTCCCAAGTCTGCTCCCTCTCTCTCTTGGGTCTCTAAGAAGGTCCTGGCTGCCTCATGGTGCACCCTGACACCCAGTGACCTCCGGTCAGGCCAGGGATCCCTCTGGGCCAGGGATTCTGGGCCCAAGGAGAGGGGAGCCGAGTGTCCTGCACCAACTCCTCCTGCGACCCATGGTTAAGCATTGAGCTCTTGGCTCAGCTTAACAGAAATGTCCCCTGAAAATCTTGGGTAGGGGGGAGGCAGCCCATCTGCTCCCCAGCAAAGCCCTCCTTTCGTTTAGAAACGATGCCCACGTCTTCCAGGGAGCCAGGGATCGGGTCTGGAAGCCCCTGAGCCGGAGGAGGCTTAGTCTGGTGTGCACTGAAATTCCTCAGTGGTTACATCAATTACACACCGCCTTGAAATCTGAAAACCGATTAGTTCATTAGTGACCTCGCTGAAACAGCCCTTCAAAAACATCAACCAAAAAAAAAAAAAATCCCTTTTAAGAAACAAAACCTATCCGCCTGAGATAAATATTTCTTCGTATCAAATAAAACGCGAACACGATGGGCTTAATTTTTTTCTAGCACGTAATAATTGTAACAGCCAACCCTTAATATAGAGCTGACCATCATATAGGGCTGCTATAGTACTTTAAAGACACAAACTCGTTTTGTTTAAATAATACGGAGGGTCTGTTTGCAAAGCAAAGCTAACCGTGGGGAATCTGCTCCCTAATCTAAACAAATCTGTAGGA